TTGTCATTCACATCAGTCGATATATTCCAGGCTGGCGAATTGCATGTTGGGTTTTAGATACGTGCCGATGCGGACCTTCCCCTTCCCTCCCCGGCCCACACACACATACCCACACTCGAACTATTTCACTCTCACGCACGCACGCTCTCTCTCCCTCACACACACACACGCGCGCGCCTATTCCGCGCTCATACACGTACACACACCTACGTGTACACACACCGCAACGTACTTCGCGAACAGACCGAGTACCTACCCGAGTACTTTAGTACGACTCGACCTCGTCCCAAATACCGCCGCGGAGTCGAGGCAGGGCAGGACGGCCGTAGTGCGGGGCGGGGCGAGGCGGGGCGAGGCGGGGCGGAGCGGGGCGGGTAGAACGCAAGAAAGTAAAAAAGGTGGTGCGGGTCGCCGTGGTATCACACACCGGATGCTCGTCGATACCCGTCTACCTCCGGCTCACCGCCTGCCCCGGGGCGGCCTGCGCTCGGCCTGCGCTCCGCGTCGCCATCAAGTACACCTTGGTGACGCACGCGGGGCTGCTGCGGCCGACGGGCCTCTGTCCGCGCTACAGTGTCGCATCCCAGCCGACGCGGTGGAGTGCTAGTACGTCCTGGTGGCACGGCCTCTCAGTATTTTTTAAAAAGTTAGTCTACTCGGTCTATTGTCGTCGACTAAGGAAACTTACTCAGGTCTAGCTTTCAAGTAAAACAAACGTTGGCTGGAAATAGCTGGAATCTTTTCCGGAAATAATATGACCGGATGATATGCTCATTCTCTGAGGCGGAGACGCGGCGCGTTCAGTGCCCCTAGCGGCAGGGGCTGTGAGGGCTGGCTGGCTGGCTGGCTGGCTGGCTGGCTGGCGGGCTGGCGGGCTGGCCGCTGCAGCGTGCGCCATGGTGCGCCGCGCCAACGGGGCCAAGGTCGCGGAGTGGAGCGCCGCGCCGCCGCGGCAGGCCGGCCAGGGGCTGCACTGCACCGCACTGCACACTGCAGCGCTGCACCGAGGGAGACAGGGAGACAGCACCCCGTCTCTTTGTTCGCGCAGCAGGCAGCAGCAGCAGGAGGCCGCCGTTCGAGCCTTGGGTGCGGCAGGGCCGGCCAGGGCGGCGCTCCGCGCTCCGCGCCACGTCGGCTGCCGCTCAGGCTCAGCTGCTTGTTGGACACGCGGTCGGCCGCCGTGCATTTAGGTCTCCTTACGCTGTCGCCGGAGGCGGGCTCCACCGCGGGGCGCGGGGCGTTCGGGAGACGGTGACGGCGCCCACCTTCGGCATAGACCGTCCCCGGGAAGGCCGTCAACGCCCCCCCCCCCCCCCCCCCGATCGACGGTGGCCTTGAATTTTCCCCACCCCGCCCTGTCGCGTATAACTCACCCCAGGAAAGTGCTTTCCACGGCCAATCATCCAGGGGCGCTGTGTGAACCGCGAACCAGTTTTAGTCGTAAGAGAACAACAACGCGCGCGGCGCGCGGAGAGACAGTCCTAGGCTGGCTGGCACGCGGTCCGCGCCGGCCAGCCCGACCAGGCCGTCCAGGCTCCCGGTGACCTTGGACTCGCTTTACGTTTTACGACGCGGCGAGTCCAGGCCGTCCAGGCCGTCCAGGCGGGGACGATCGCCCGGCACGACCTGCGGCCCGCGGCCCGCGGGACAAGACCGTCGTTGGCGGAGCCGGAGCAGAAATCGCAAAAAACGCCCGCAAATGAGTCGCCATGGTTTCCCTTCTCGCCGCGTCCTTTGCACGCCTGCATCCGCGTCACGGCGCGTCACGAAACGTCACGGCGCGTCACGGCACGTCACGGCAGTGTGACACGGAGCCGCGTCACGCGTCCGATGGGCGTGTCCTGGCGACATTCCGAACCATTAAACAAGCAAGCGCTCCCAGGGCTGCGTCGGCCGCCTCGGCTGCCTCGGCGCGAAGGCCAGGCGGCAGGTCGGACTGACCCTCTTCCGGAGTTCCGCCAGGAAGACGAGAAAGGCGCTGTTTGCTTTCCTTTTGCCTTTTGCATTCTCCGCCGCCGCGCCGCGCCTCCATGACGGCCTGCTCGGCCTGCTCGTGGAGAGGCGAGGCTGGCAGGCCGGCGAGGTGGCTGCCTCCCTCTCCGCCGCGCCCCGCGCACCGGGAGCCACCCCAAGCTGGCCCCGAGGCTGGCGGGCTGGCCCCCAAGTGGGCGCTTTTTTTAGTCGGACCGTGTCAAAGGTCTCGATGGTTTCGATCGGCGCCGGCGCGCCGGCCGAACGGTGCAGCCCGGCCGTCGAGAGTCTTGGCGCTACTGCACTGCTCGGCGGGGTGGACAGCGCGTCGCACAGTTTCTCATCGTTAGGGTTGTGCTCCGGCAGTTACGGAGACGCACTGTGAAATGTGAGGGTGTGGAATTCGCAGTGTCCGCACTTCAACTGTGGAATTCGAGAAATACTCTACGCCAGGAAGTGTGGGGTCCTCCACACTTGGTTTGACATGGCGGGGACCCTCACTCTTGAGGATTCGGGGAAGCGTGTGCATGCAGTTCGTGCGGCGCGGCAAACCGCCAACTCTGAAAGTGAAAACGGCGCCAGTGACGCCGGGTCGGGCCGGCCGCCTACCCCAACCCACGGGGACAGAAGAGGCCACACCCCCAGGCCGCACCCCCGGGACCCACCCCCGGGACCCACCCCCGGGACCCACCCCCGGGACCCACCCCATCGGGGGCCGCCACAGGCCACAGGCCCCAACAGGCGCCCCCGCTGTGTCACGTGTAGTTTGGGGAAGCCCCAGAAGTGACGGCTGTTGTCTGATTCCGAACAGTGCTTTCGTAGCTCTGTCTCTCTCGTACTCATGGGCCATCCCGTATGGGTGCCAGAGAGACAGCGATCGTCGACGAAAGCACTGTTCGGAATGAGCCCCTGTTGTGGCAGTCGCTGCTGTCGCGGGGTAGACTAGGCGAGGAGCCCATCTTTGCATTCGACTGCTTGTACGAACAGCACCGAGCACCGTGCACTGCGATGATGGGCATGGCACGCGCACGTGAGAGGGTCGCGCCGTCTGTCCGTCTCTCTCCCACCCGCACGGCACGCGCTTGGAAAGGGGTCGTGCCGTCTCTCTCTCTCTCTCTCTCTCTCTCTCTCTCTCTCTCTCTCTCCCACTCGCGCAATTAGGGGGAGGACTGCCGGCTGGTCTTGTTTCCGAACGCGACCTACTCTAGCCTGCCGTCTCAAGTGACTTACCTTGAATTACCAAGCGTCTGTTACTTTCCTTCATCATCGCGGCCACCGTGTGTGTGTGTGTGTGTGTGTGTGTGTGTGTGTGAGTGCGCGCACGCTTGTGTCTGTGTCAGTGTGTCTCTCTACCTGAGGCACGCCCCATTAGGGCAGTGTGGCCGACAAATAAGAACGCATTTTAATGATTTCCACCGGACGGCTGAGCATATTGGTAATAACATGTGATTCAGCGCCTTTTTGGCGAGGCACCGTGACAGCAATGGAAAGATCTGGCGAACCGACTTCCCTGACACTTTGCCGCCTCGTTCCGAAATGATTCGCTTTGCATAGGCCTTGGATTCCATCTTGAAGCGCCTGGACGGTAGGCACGGACGCACGGCCGTTGGGTCTCTTACAACCATTGCTGCCAAACAAGTAGACAAAAAAATTCCACGATGCAACAGAACAAGTTTGCCAACCTCAGCCTGCCACCAGGCAGTAGCTGGGCTTTCCTAGCGCCTAGTATGCAGGCTAAGGTTGGCAACCCTTCGACACTGGTGGTGGGATGGTGGGAATTTCGGCCCACTTTCGTGGTGACACTGCGAGGGACTTCCCCGAGTAATGCGTGATGCCGTTCTGACTCGAAGAAATTGCCCAGTGTACCATCCCAGTGCATTGACGTGATGGTAGCCCGCACCCTGCCCTGCGCCCTGCACCCTGCCCTGCACCCTGCCCTGCACCCTGCCCTGCACCCTGCCCCGCGCCCTGCCCGGCCCGAATCCTGTTTGTTGGGCTTCGCGGCTCTTCGTAGCACCAACAGTATTTTACTACAAGCTGCTGCGGCCAGCCGAGCCAGTGCCCTACACGACACGGAAAGCTTGCATTCGGATCATCGCACCCTGCCCCACCACGGACAGTTCCTCCTGAACCCGGCTGGCGATTGGATTATTGGAGTCTAATTGAAAACGAGTGCGGCAATCAATTAATCGATTTGAACCGCGGCAGCGCGCTGCACTCCGCACATCTGTAAGCAGCTGGACTGCGGCCAAACGGCTGAGGGGTCTCGAAGGTGGCCCCCCCCCCTCGCCTCAACAGGATGCCCACTGCCCCCTCCCTCCACCCCCTTCTGGCACCCGTGTAAATGTCAGGTCATTTGCAGCGGCACGGGGTAGAGTACCACAGGGTGCGGCGGGGGCGAGGCGGGGGTGGCGGCGTCGCCGGTCCGACACTGGATTACATTTGTAAACCGCTTTAAAAACTTAATCGGCTACCTCGAGGCCTCGGCTGGGCTCGGTGGCACCCCGACGGCGGCCGACGGCGTGCTCCCCGCCCCCGCCGAGCCAGCCCCGACGCCCCGACCGCCCCGACCCACGCCTACACTGCCACGGCGGTTATTTCAGGCTTCGGGCGCCACTTGGCCGCGCGCTACACTACAATCTGCTTTTGTTCCGACTCGCGAGCGCCAGCCAGCCCAGCCAGCCGGCCGACCGCTGGGCGACTATTTCTCAATTGCCGGCGCCTTAAAGTGCTGCCGACGCCGACTAACGAAGGCGGGGGGAGGGGGTGGGGAGGGGCCAATAATTAGCCCGATGTGTCTCCGCCTCGTTGTGCCTATTCAGCCCATTGCGTTCGATGGCGGCGCCAGTGCACCACTAGGCCACGCTAGCTCGGCCTGGCGCGGCAGGACTAGTTCGCGTTACTGGATTGAGGTGTACTAATCGTGTTTGTCTTTGCCCCTTCCATTGTTTTCTCAGCTGTCAAATCTATTACTGCCATATGTTTACTTTCTCTCTTTGTGAAAGGACAGGAAAATGAGGAACACAACGTCAGCATTTATTTACAATTTTTATTTGGTTTTCAGATATCATTTTTTAAAGTCAAAAATAAATTTCAGTAAATTTTTATTTGACAATCACAACCAGGGGCGGCGGTTTGCAGCCTATAGTCACAGCACAACCTGCTCTGGGCGTAAGTACAATTATATTACAAGTCTGAGATACAGGACAATTGCTGCCCGACAGCACAGGGCCGCGCCACAGCGGGCAGCGCCACAAATGATTACTACACAATAATTAGAAAAAGAGAAACCACATTGACTTATTACAATTTACAAAAGTCAATCATACATAGTGTACATGATAATTGTACATCGAATCGAAACAACCGCGCCCCGGCACAGCCGCCACCGTACAATCACAATATTCACTTTTTTTGGCACGTAAATAAAATTACAGAAAGAGAAAGTTCTCTACAAACTTATTGAGTAAAATTTGAGGCCCGCTATGAGCTACTGCTGCAAGCGTCGCCTACAAGACACAGTACATCATCTTTCTCAGATTTTGTTTACTTTAGGGAATAAACTGGCAGCGAAACGCTACGAATTAATGCCAAGAAAATGCAAAGAGTTTTTAATGACTATGCGACGAAGTGCCACCTTCATTAGTTAATAATAATTAACGAGAAATACATCATCTACCTAAAACGTAGAAAATCACTGTCCCATGTGCATTGCATTGCAAGTATGCCTGCAACAAAGGTCTTTATACTTATCCACTCGTGATTTAAAAAAAAAAATTCACGGTTCTCACTTATAACATTTACATATATCATATCGGTCAGGCCCAGTAGTGTGACCAAAGAACAAAGTAAGTATTAAAACTCCAGTATTAACACATTTGCTCATCGTCACAATAATGCTCTTGTGAGCCACACTTGGACCCCTGCACATAACACGCTAATAAGGAACATTTTTATATTTTTATTCATTTTATACATTTTAAAGTATAGCAACGAGTGCAATGGGCCCATGCACTGCGCGAGGCTGGGTCAGGAGGCGCCGCGGGCAACACGTGTCAGTCCAACCAACACATAAAATAATGCAACATATGCGTTAAAAATTACAATGGCTTTTACACCAAAATTACAATAAAACATAATTACTGCAAAAAAGGTACCTCATTTGTTATCAATGTGCAACAGAGTGCACTTAAGAGGATATACACCAAAACGACAAAAAAAAAGAAAAAAATTAACACACAAGAAATAAAACTCAAGATTAAGAAAATGCAAATCTTTGCAAGACTCTTGGCTATAAGCAGCCCGACTGACTAGAAGGTCCCGGCCACCCTCCCTCTTGCGCAGCGCACGCGTCACTATATCACGAACAAACATGGCCATGTATTGTGTCACCCTGTATCATATGGTGCTTCAGGGCTCAGCTTTCAATAAACAAAACCTCTAACTACTATAAATTAAGATAAATAGGTCCCAGTCTTGAGCCACTAACTTTCGCCTTAATCTAAATCCATCACTCATTTTGATACAGTTGTCACCTTTTCACATCATTTTTATTTTGGAATGGGACTTTTGCCAGCAACCTAAGCGGCTATCAGCCAGCGCGCTATTTGAAACAAATTAAAAAAAAAAGAGTCACTTTTTCAGTGATGATTTACTTTACAGTCAAGACTTAACCTAAGATTCGCCAGGTACGATAGACTTTGTGGCCGGTGAGATCGGGATGCCCGGCCCGAAATAGGGGAGGGAAATAGAGTGAGAAAAAAATTGTGTTCCGGATATGAGAGAGAGAGAGAGACGGAGTTAGATCACGACGAGCACGCGGCCATCCAGCCGGCCGGGGCGTTGCACGAGCACGAGCACGCCGTGTAGCTGGGGATGACGGGGGCGTAGAAGTAGCCGTGCTGGGTGTACACCAGGGCGGTGGGGCCTTGCGCCTGGGGGCCGCCCTGCAGGCCCTGCATGCGGCCCTGCAGCGCCTGCTCCTGGCTCAGCACCAGCCCCGCCAGCTGCTCGATGAGCTGCAGCGTCTGCCGGCGCTCGTGGCCCATCAAGCACACCGTGCTCTGCTCCACCACGCGCCGCAGCAGCAGCAGGTAGCGGTAGCGCAGCGCCTCCTCCGCGCGCCCCACGAAGTGGTTCGTGAGGTAGCTCTGCAGCTTGGCGCGCTGCTGCCCGATGTCCGGGAAGTCGATGAAGAAGCGCGAGCACATGTAGCGCTCCAGGGCCTTCATGTCGGAGCGGGCGGGCCGGTAGTTCCGCACCAGGAGGTTGCAGTACTTGAGCAGACCGCCGCCGCGGATCTCCTCCGGGCAGCGCGTCGCAATCAGCTTCTTCTGCAGGTGGTACAGGGCCTCCTGGAAGTCGCCGTACACGCTCTCGCCCACCACGGTCGGGTAGAAGTTCTCGCTGATGGGCAGGTCGGAGCATTCGTAGAACAGCAGCAACGAGTCCAGCACGATCTGGAACGAGTCCACCGAGAACTCGAAGGGGCGCCTCATGGTGTCGACGAACTTGAGCTCCACGTTCTTGTGGCCGCGCGAGTTGCCCAGGGAGATGAGCGACCAGCGGTCGCCGTCGTGGTTCACCTTGACCATCTTGCTGACGTACGCCTCCTTGAGCGAGCAGGTGGTGATGCGCTTCCTGCTCACGCCCTCGGGCAGCAGGTCCATGAGCGAGCCCAGCACGGCCGCCTTGACGCGCTCGAAGTTCCGCGGCGCCGAGAGCTCCACGCCGAAGATGAGGTCCAGGTCGTTGTAGGGCTGCGGGTCCGAGGCCAGGACGTGGCTGGCGCCGCCGCCGTTGAGGCGGATGTCGCGCACCGGCATGTCCGCCTCCAGCTTGGAGCGCACCACGGCCACCAGGTCACGCAGCCGCACCTCGAGCGTGGGGAAGTTGCCGCGGCCGTGGATCGACACCACCTCGTCCATCATGTCGCTCAGGCGCTGCACCTGCTCGAAGCTCAGCACGGACAGCCTCTGCTGAGGCTTGCCGCTCAGCGACTCCATCCCGCACCGACGCAGCCGCTCGGCGCACACGCGAAGGGAGCCGCACTGCAACACACAAAAGAGGAAGCGGTTAGACCAAGTCGGGAGTCGAACCTCCGGCCGGCGAGCGGGCCGCCAGCCACAGCGATATGCCGCCACCGTCACCGCGTCACGTCGGATTGGACCGGGCCGATAACCAAAGCCGCTGCAGCCCAAGGTGATGGACGGCGACCTCAAGCCCCAAGGCCGCGGCCCAGCACAGCACAGCCCGTTCTCACCGGCGGCGCCGCGTTCGCCGCGTTACGCCCGAGTCCGTACAGTGGCCGGCGGCCGGTAACCCAGAAAGCGCAAGTGACGTACGGAACGCGAGACGAGACGTCAGACGGCCAGCCACGCAGCACGCCGACAGCACGCAGGCCGCGGCGGCATGGGCTCGCCTGGCTTTGCCTTGGCGGCGTGGAGTCATTTTTCAAACGATCAACGCAAGCCGCGCCATGCGGGGCTGCGGGCGAGGAAAGTGATGTCTCCGCAGGTACTTCCCCAGCGAGTGCCGCCCTGCGGTTGCCAGCCAGCCAGCGCCATCCACGCGTGGAAGAAAGGGAAAGACAGGCAGTGCAGTGCAAGTGTCAATCTGCCGCCGCGCCCACACCGCTCCGTCTCGCTTTCGGCTGACAAGGGGGAAGCCACCTACATTTTTTGTAGTTTTCTGCGAGAAACAAGGAAACCGAGATTTTTCAGCAATTTGCCGCAATTTCGATTTGGCCGGGGCCTTTGTCCGCCGCGAGTCCGCCGAGGGCCAAGTAGCAGATATTTCGGGCATCGCCATGGGGAGTGGAGAGCAAAGGTTGGCGGTCCGCGACCTTTCGCGGCTTCCAGACAAAATAAAGACACGAGGACTTGGGTCGCGGTGCAGACGGCTTGGCCACGTATTTTATCGTTCGGCAACAGTCTAAAGCGAGCGAATGCACTCCCTCTCGCCGCGCGCCGGCACCGCCTCCAGGTTCAGGACCTTCAGGGCCTCCTCGGCGCGGACGTCAAGCGGCACACCGTCACCGCCTCTCGCGTCAGAAGGACGCATTTGCATTCGGCGGCTGGCCTTGCGAAAATATCGACGCGTTTTGCGGCATTCCCTAAATGGCGGTGCAACTATCTCCCGCCAAGGCGAGAAGGCGGCCCGCTCCGGTCCGCGCCCCGCTCGGCACTGACTCATAAGTAAGCATTTCAAATTCAAGGCGTGCCGGTGTCCAGTTGTCACCAGCGCACTCTCGCACGCGCAGGCTGGCCAATTAATTTAAGCCCGCCTTACAGTGGAAAGTGACACGCGGCGAAAACCGAACGACGCGGCCACGCGGCCGCCGGGACGAAAAGACATCGCGACGCCGGACAGTTCGCCGCGTAACACACAAGTGGCCGCGCCGATGCCGATATCGCATACAGTACCAAAACCAATTAGCCGCCGCGCTCCAAGTGCGCCGTCATCACGCCGAACCGCGCCACGAGACAAAAGGACCCCGCCGGGGATCGAACCCGCGACCGGCCGGCCGGACCAGTTGCCCGGTCCCAGCGCGGTGGATCTTCGCATACCAGAGCGAAGCGCGCGAAAATGACGTAACGACGACCAGCCGAGCCATTCAGAGGAGCGGTTCGTCGCCCGCCTCTCTCGCACTCTTATGGAGTGGCTCCACGAGTGCGACAGAGACAGAGCGACCAAACGACTTTTCTGAATCGCGGCCGCCAGCCGGTCGGGCAGGGGCGGGCAGAGCCACCAGTCAGGCACCGGTCCGCCGGGGCTGCCAACAGGCGAGGGGAGGGCAGGCACGGATACAGAGGGGGAGGGGAATGGGGGCAATAGATAGCCACCTGAAAAGTAGGCAAAAAGTGCGACTTTGCCCCTGTAAGTAGGCAAAAAGTGCGCCCCCCCAATAGGCCGCCTCTGGATCCGCCACTGGGGGAGGGGGAGTTGCCCAAGTTACATTCAACCCGCTCCAACGCGCGGCGCCGCACGCCCACCACCAACCACTGCACTGCTACCGGGAAGAGGCGCAGGAACCCCACACACAGCCATCGTCCGCGGAAATTACCCAAGTCACTCTGTTAAAAAGCATCATGGCTTTTTCATAAGGAATGAGGCGAAGGCCTTCATGTAAACTCGAAGAAGAAAATGCTCCTTATCAGGCAAGTTTCTACGTGGTTAAGGGCAGTTAAAGGAGGTATATCCATGCCATGACATCCTTGTGAAGCAGATCCTTCTTTCGATTTCATTTTTTTACAGAGCGGCGACACCGCCGAGCAGAGGGGGTCCCCACCGGTCCCCACCTGGTGCAATCCAAACAACAGTTCGCGGAAGAGCAGCCAATCGAGCGCCCCATGAAAACTGTACGGATATGACGAGGAAAAAACAATCCGCCTTTTTTTTCGCGTCTTTCTCGCATCTTCCGCGCCGATCCGCACCCAAGATAAGGCCCCGGGGAAAAACTATCCGCACTGCACTTGCAGTGCACTCGCTGCACTCGGCGCCCACAGTGTGCACGCAGCGCGTCGAGGCAGTTTTTGCGGCTCTTTAATCAAGCGGCGTTTTCGTCGCTCTGTCTCCCTCCCACCTATACGGGACGCTCCGTGAGTATGAGAGAGCTAGAGCGACGAAAACGACTCTCGGAATCAGTGTGCCGGCCGGCGATGCCTTTGGCGATGCCGATCACAATGAAGTGCGTGTGGCTGAAGTGCCTGGCGGCCTGGCGGCAGGGGGAAGTCCCAGCGCAGCTTCGCGCGGCACGCCACGGCATTGCGTGTCAGCCACAAATCAGGAGGCCCTCCTCGCCACAGTAATGCCAGACAGTTTTCTCCCATAGGAAGCGAGGCAACTCTATGATCGGATCAAACTAAAAACCACAACAATAAAAAAAAAACTTTTTTTCCTGTCGAGAATTTTGGAGTTAATTTATCCGTTTCACAAGTTCATTCAATTTACATAGAGATGGCTTATTTCCGAGACGGGTTTAATTAATTGGCAATTTTGCAAACAAATTGCTAAGAAATTAAAAATTTTAAACACTATTGGACATGGTTTACTGGACTGGTTTACAAATAGGCGAGCGCCTATAATTTTGACGCGATGTAGCCACACTGTAGGTGCGTCTGGCCGGCCGCGGGCCATGGAGTTTAAAAGTGAGCTGCGTTGCTGCGTCGGCCGGACGACAACGAGGACGGAAAGGGCTCCACTCCACTCTGCTTGACAAGGCAAGGCGTCCTTGTGGCCTGTGGCCTGTGGGCGCGCAGATAGGCAAATGCAAGGCCCGCTGCACTATCGCAGTGACCCATTGGCCCACTGAGGCGCGTCCTGGAGGACGCCGAGCGCGCCGAGCGCGGCCACGGGGGAGCCTTCGGCTTGTCTAGGATGCCACTCCCGGACACACTAGCCAACCAGATAGGCTTCATGGACGCCTGTCCCTTCGTAAAGCGCGACTATCTCTCTCTTGCAACCTTACGGGACGCCCCCGCGAGTGCGAGAGACAGCCAAGAAAGCACTGCTGGGAATATGCCCACCGGGAGGCGGGGCGGCACCCAATCGAAAACACACCCGGCTGGGATGGCATTGGGGCGTTCGGCGTTCGTCCCGCTAGAGTAGCGGTTCCGTTCATTCGCTTATCGCCAGTGAGAGTGAAAGTGGCCGGACCGATAGCGCTCCAGGGGCCGTGCGGGGCGCGCGGGCCGCGGGTCAAACTTCAATCAACGAACCGGCACCCGTACGCGGAAAAGCCGACAGGCACCGATCACGGACACGAGGAAAACACGCTCGTTACCGCCAATCACTCAATTCGAGCGCCGCCGCGATCGATCCAGATAACCAACCCAACTGTGCGTGAGTGGGCCGACAGGCAGCAGGCGCGCCACCGACGCGCCCCGTTCTCACAGACTTAGCGCCGTTTAAAGGCCTTGCAAACCTTACAGCCTGGCGGCCGTGACACGCCGGAGAGAGTACACAAGCGTTATCGCAAACCGCCACACTGTCGCCCTAAGCCCTGCCGCCCGCTTCTGGAAAGGTGCAAATGTCAAATGCGGTGGTTTTTAAAACGACCAAGTCGGTGATCAACTCGGGCCTAACCTCCTCGGCGATGAGCCCCCTGCGCCCAGACACGAACAGGAAATCGGCACAGCGCTCTGTGGACAGAGTCGTTTTCGTCGCTCCGTCTCTCTCGCACCTATAAAGGACGCCCCACGAGTGCGAGAGAGACAGGGCGACGAATCAGTCTGCTGGCTGGGCCCTGGGTGCCCTGGTCCCTGGGTGCCCGGGTCCCCAGCCCTGCCGCAAGTGCCGTGCTTGTCCAGTGCTGTCCGTTCCTGGAACGTCCCATACATCTCCGCTAGCCTGGCCAGGCCTGCCTCGCTGGAACGAATGGCTGTGCAATTACGCCTTGCTGCCACTAGCACCCCTCCCCTACCCCCAGCACGCTCCAGCAGCGCTCCAGCAGGCCATTGCCACGGAGCTGGACCGAAACCCCATGCCAACCAAAATCCGGCACGCGTCGCGACAAAAATAGGGACTAAATCGAGGCGAAAATCCTTGCCGAATGGCCCCGCCCCCTGACACCCAGAAGGGCAGTATAATTAATGCAGAGGCGGAAAGAGGCACGCCCCAGTTCCAGCCACTGCCAATGCCGTCACGCGAGGCGACGACGCCGCGACGCCGCAATGGGTACCCTCTTCGTCGTCCTGTTTCTCTCTCGCACCCTTCTGGAACGCCCCATGGGTGCGAGAGAGAGGGCGGTAAATCAGCCTGCTGCCGGCCTCCAGGAGCGCCTCCAGCACGACATTGACCGCGAGTAGCAGCAGCTCCGGCAGGACCCTGATTCCGAGCTCTGTCCCTCTCGCACCCTTAGGGCGTCCCACATCGGTGCGAGAGGGACAGAGTGTCAAGCAGTGCTCGGAGGGATCGGCCTGCTGGCCGAGGCGACCCGCTCGCCCTGCGGGACACCAAGCAGTACGCCAGCAAGGAGTGGGTGCGGGTGACAATCAGGGGGATCTTCGCCACCTGGTCGCGCAGCACGGCGGAGAATTCCACCGTCTGGCGGCCTGGCGGATGCCCTAGCGGACGGCCCGGCCGAGCAGATGCTCGGGCGGTGACGTCGCCGCCAGGGCGTAGCGGGGGGCGTAGCCGCGGGGCACGCGGGGAGGGGAGCCCCAATATTCCGCCCACAGGAAGTCGAATAATCAATGCGCCAGAGGGAGACAAGTACTCCTCATTGCAGTGCGCCAGAATAGGGGACAAAGTTCGGCCAGCTAAAATGTAACAGGTCCGTCGAATACAGTCGGCCAGCCTCGCGGCACTGCGCGGCACGCGAAGGCTGGCGCGGCGCGGCCGCCGAATGGGCCAGATAGGGACGCGACGCGCCGTCAAAACAACCAGCCGGCGTCCTCGGGGAAGACCCACTTCCGCTCCTGTTGAACGCGACCAGCGGCACCAGCAGCCCGGCAGGCCGTTCTCCGCGCCCGGGTTTCGGCTAGTCCAGGACGCTAGTCCGCGACGCTATTCCCGCGCAGCAGTGCCGCGACGCGCACCCATATGGGAGACTCCGCCAGGACGCTGCGCGGCCGACGACGTCGCCGACGCGGGGCAGACGACATGTCGAGAGAGCGAGTGTCAAAACTTACCCTCTTACTGTCCGTGCGAGGGGGGCCAGGGGCGGGGAGCACAAACAAACATCCCGGTTACAATGGTCGCCGCGCTAAACTCGGTCGAATGCCAGAGAGCCGCCAGGAGGCAGCGTGAGCTGCACACGACACCGTGGACCACATCACCTTACAGGGCAGCACCACCAAATCACAGCACTTGCACTCCGACACTGCACGGGGATTCATCAGCTTGTCACTGCACTCACTCCACCTCGCACAGGCCCTACCAGGGGCATAGCCAGACACTGCTTGGACGGCCACTGAGCACACAGAGTGCTCTAAACACCACAACAAGGGCCTCTCTCCGGGCCGCTCGGCCTCGACCCGCACTCTGAACTCGCTGGCGCACTTGCTTCGCCTCCTCGGGGTGCCCGCTAGCCGGGCGGAGAGTGCCGGACACTGGTGGACCGCGCCCGCGGCGCCGCCGTGGACACCATATGGGCACGTGTGCCGCGGCGCGGTCGGACTGGCGTGGTCTGGCGGCACTTACATCAATCGGGCCGAATGCACAACAGCAACGCGAGACAGCGGAGACAGCCGGGCCGGTCACTAGGTATCCCACTGGCGTGACGGGGCGGCGTCTCCTGTCGCGGTGCACACTTGACGCACTGGTGCGCGATGCGCGAGGGTCGCTCGGCTCGGACTAGCACTGCCTCGCCTCGCCTGGCCGGTGCTGGCCGGGACCACGACACGGACGATGCCTTGCGGGCTCTACCGCTAGCCTTGCGCTGCGTTGCGCTGCGTTGCGCACACACACTGCCAGCCTCTCCCCGCGAATACTGGCCGCCAACTGACAACTGACAGTTCGTTCGAGCCGAGAGCCGAGCCGAGCCGAGCCAGGCGCACCAGTCCCGCCCCCTTCCCTCGGTCCGCCGCCCGCCTCTCCCGCCCGCCCGGGCCCGCACGCCCCCCGCCCCGGCCCCCCGCCCCGGCCCCCCGCCCCCACCAACGCCCAAGGAGAAGCGGCAAAGCGCGTCAACCCGTCACCAGTCGCCATGGGAACGGGGCAACGGGCCGCGCTGGGGGCGCGGGGCGGGGGGGGGGGGGGGGGGGGGTGCTGGGTACTGGCGCTCGGTGTCGGTGAGGGGCTGCCGGGCTGGTCGTCCCCGCGCCCCCAGCATCCCGACCACCCAACCCCATTTCGGCCCAGTTGGGCGAAAGAATTGTGTGCGGGGCCGGGGATGCTGCACACAGGCAGGCCGGCGGGATGCTGGTGGCCACTGGCCGACCGGGCAGCCGAGAGGATCTGTTGCTCTAGTGACGTCACTGGAAGGCCGCCCCGCCCCGCGCTTGGAAGACTACGGCGCCGTAAACATCGAGTATTTGGGGCGCCCTGCCCTGCCTCTGCCTGTCTGTCGTCTCCCCCAAGGCTGCGTCTGTAAACCTGCGCCACACTGTAATTACATTTTGCCACTCCGACGCCCCGGGCCCGACGCCCAAGGTCGGCTTTGCATGTGTGTGTGTCTGTGAGCGCGAGCCCATGTGTGTGTGTGTGAGTGCAAACACACGCGTCAGGGTGGCGGGCTGGCGGGCCTGCCGGGGTCCCGGGTGCACGACGCGCTGGAGTGGAGTGTTAATCCAGCGCGTTTCCAGTAGCGCCAGAAGGGGCTCGCGCGCACAGGGAACATAGGGAGGTCGGGTAAGCCATTTACGCGTTTGAGAGGCCTGCTGCCTGCCTGGAATGGGGGCAGCGGGTTGCCTACCCTCGGCGCGACAGGCGTTCCAACTCTCGAGCCCTTGACAAACGGAGTTCCGTCCGTAAGGTGGATGCACAAAACCATCCGTAAACAGGAAACCTCGTTCGTATCCGCGAGGAAAATAGCGGACGTTGCACGTGTTTGCGACAGCCGAGGCGACAGCTGGTGCGGACCAGTGTATTGGGACTCGGAGTGGAACCAGGGGAAAATGGGCTGCCCCAATGCGCCGCCAAAGCGCCGCCTAGACCGGGGAGGCGACGGAAATGTTTGCGTGGCGGTGTCGCTAGAGCTTCGCACTTGTTGAAACAACAGGGCTGGCTCCAGACTCCTTCGAACCGGCGGGGTTGTTTGTTTCTCCTCCCTGCGGTCCTGGTCCTGAGGCTGCCCCTAGGTTTCATCGAGGGATCAAGTCTTGCTTTTCTGCACAGCGTTTGCACGAAATTGAGCATACGCGTGAAATGCACGAATTCATGCGCAACAACGCACATTTTCGTGCTCAGCTGCGGACGAATTGGTGAAATTCAAAAAGGATGCTCGTGGGAAGGTGCACAAACAACTTCTGTGTCCACAGTCCTTTAGTGTTTGGTTGTCAGCGCCGAGTGGCTGAGTGGTCTCTGGGCGCAGAGGATGGTAATTTCAAGGGTAATTTCTCTTTTTTTGCGCGAGCGCTGCTGGAGGGTTGCGTGGGAGTGGACTTTGGGCGGACCGCTACCCCGCCGGGCCCAACGCCCACGCTCTTCGGGCTTGGTCATCCCGACATCGCGACAACCCCAGCGTGGCCCCGCCGGCCCCGCCGGCCCCGCACCCAGTGGCCAAGGAGCCAACACAGCAGCGGCCCAAGTATGTGGGCCAAGGGCAAGCCAGGGGCGTGCCCAGCGGGCGGGGGGCTCGCCTGCACGCCGCGGCGCCGCGGCAAGGCGTTGACAAGAAAACCCGATACGCGCCGCGGAGGCCGAGCTAATTTAACGGAACCAACTAACTCGCTTAATAACTCACTCCGACAACGACTCCGCGGCGTCCGCGGGCCGAGCAGGGAATTTGTGAAATCCGCTGCGGCGGAGATAGTGCGCGGCGGACCGCGACGGCGGCTGCTGCTGCGCCACGCCGCCCCTCGCCTTGCACCGCACACGCAACGCGGCGAAGCGGCGACGCGACGCGTCAAATGCAGCAGTTGTTTTCGTCGCTCCGTCTCTCACGCACTCACAAAGCGTCCCGTGGACGTTCGAGAGAGACAGACCGACGAAGACTGCTCCGAGTCGGCGTGCAGCTGCTGCGCCACACTGCCGCCGCCGCCTCACCGCCTCGACCAGAGCGGAGTGCTGTGGATCGTTGCTGAGCCAGCGGAGGCCGCCGCCATCGGGCGCCGCATGTCCAGGGCGGCACCGCGTGTCGCGTTTCAAAAGCCGGTACTTCCCCGCCGCCAAACGACTGCGCCGCGGCGTCGCGTCGCCATACTGCGGCCCGCCGCCCGCCACAACAACCAGGCCGGCGGTGCGGAAACACACCCGGCGTCGTCAGCACGTCGCCGTCAGCAGCAGCCTGACACCGCCGGCCCGCCGCGATGACGCACTTGGCGTACGCCGTGGCGGTTGCGACAGGTGGGGCACGGCCTGGACGGCGTCCCTCCGCGTCGAGCGCAGCGCAGCACGGCGCAGCGCGCCCCAGCCACACCGTAAGGTAGGCCAGGGCGAGCCGGGGCGCCGGGGCGCCTCGCCTGGGATGGGGCCGGCCGGGGGTTGGTCCGCCCACGCTCTGAAACTGCGTCGCCCCTCCCCACCCCAATCCAGCCCCTATCTCGGCCCACGCAGCTCCGCGACTCGCCCACGCGCGCAGTACTCGCCCCCACCCCCACCGTGCCCCACCGCCACAGCGTGGGAAGGTCGCGAGTACGGTGTGGAGCGGGCGGTACACAGAAAACGAGAGGGAACGCTGGCGGCGTGCGGCGTGGCCGTCCATGTGACGGCGATGGTCGCGACGTGCCGCCTGACACATCCGGCAGCGCGGCCCTGCGCGGCCCTGCGCCCAAACGAAACGTGACTGTACGTCAATTTTATTTGCGACAACCACTCCGATTCTATGGCACGCGGTGCGCAGCGCGGAAAGCGCCAGAAAGCAGCAGGCCAGACGTTTGGGAACCGCGTTGGAGAACCATGACCACCTCGCGGACACGCCGCGGGCGTCAGGAGCAGCGGGGCGGTGGCGCCGCGGGTACTCCGAGCGAACATACGGGGTGCTGGTTTTGCGGTTACGCCCCCCGCCGCGCCGACACCCCAGCCCATCCTCCCGGCCCCCGCCCCACTCCCCCCGCCCCCTGTCCCCGATCGATACCCTACTAGCGTTTGCCTTCTTCGGGCCCCTTCTGGACCCCCCGCTCCTGGCCGCCCCGCTGTAGGCCTCTGGGAAGCTGCTCGCGCCCAGCAGGCTTGCCGGGCCGGGCTGGGCTGGGCTGGGCTGGGCTTGCCGCGCAAGCGTTTCATCGGCGTACTTGCCGCGCAGTGCGAACTGCGAACTGCGTAGGCGTTGGCGGGGTGGGGGTAGGGGTGGAGGCAGAGGTGGCCCCGGGCCCCGCTCTCCTCTAAGCTCGGCCAACACCATCCAGCCCTTCGACCCTTCCACTTGAGAAGGGCACAAAGGTCGCAGGGCAGGGCCAAGGGGGGCGGGCGGGGCGGGGTGGGGCGCGCTGGAATTGGCGGCACTGCAGGACCTTCGTCGTCCCGGACGTTCGACCTTCGACCCGAGCACCAACCCGCCCCTGAGTCACGGCCAACTGCCCGCGGCGGAGGCACCAAGATGAAGATCGGGCGGAGCGGGAATGACCTGAAGTCAAAATTCTCCGGGGAAAGGCGTAATAGTGCTTCAGCTCTACCCGTGTGGCCTCAGGGGTGCGTTTCGGAGCTCCGCCGCCGCTATTGTTGTTGTTAGTGTTGTTGTTGTCGTCGTCGATAAGGTCTTATTCTGATTCTGGAAATAACCACGGCGCCCAACCGCACAGAATGTCAATCTGTTATTTCTGGGAACAATCGGCGCCACTTGTGGGCGTTCTCCGAGACTACTTGGAGTGTGGCAGCCGAGGCGGCAGCCCAGCTACTTTCATCATCTTCTCATCCCCCCCGGCTCGGCTCGGCCCGGCTCGGCTCGGCCGGCGCCCACGCATTTCGCGGCCTGGAGTGCACTCCGCATAAGCCGCCAGCAGGCCGACTCCGAACCATGCCTCTGTCTCTCTCACGCGTACGCAACGCGCCGTGCGTGCGAGAGAGACGGAGGAACAAAGGCGCAAACGAGAAGCGAAGCCGACGGCCGAGCAAAGCAGCGCAAAGCAGCGCCGGGAAGCAAGTTGGGCGATCGAGATCGAGAACCGACGAGGAGAACCGACCCAGGCCGGGGCGACCGGGCGACCCAGGCAGGCGCCGCGAGACAAGGGGAGGGGGAGGCCGCCCCGCCCCCCCGCTCCGCCAACCACCACCCCCGGCGCCCGGAGCCGCTTCTGGCCGCCTCTGGCCGCCTCTGGCCGCGTCGCGAGCATTGCGGGGCGTTCTGGAACGGTCTCGAGCGGGGAGGGGGGCGCCGCGCTGGCCGCTGCCCTGTCCGTGCCGCGCGGCGGGACCAAGCAGTAGAATGATTCCGAGTGGGAGGTCTCTCTCTCTCTCTGTCTCTCTCTCTCTCGCACTCACGGTGTGCTCCGTACCGGTGCGAGAGAGACGCACTGTGTGGAATGAGTCTCCTGGACTAGCACCCGGGATACGGCACGCCGCGGCACGCTAGGCGCTAGCGGCACGCACGATGCTAGGCCGAAAGCGGAAAGCGCTGTTGTTTGTCGGAGTGGCGATGAGGTGACCTTTCCCAGGGACAGTCAAGTTCCCGCAGACTGCTGCCGCCCTGCCGGCACGCCACGCCGCCACGCTGCGGCGTGGCCATCCAGTCCGATACGCAGTTGTTTGGTGGAGAGCCCACCCCGGGTAACATTTGATGTCAGTACCTTCATGAAAAAAACGTCGATGACATGTAATCCTGCCGTTTTGGAAACGCCTGCAGAGTGATAGGCTGATGGGCGGGGACCGGAAGTCGGCGGCAAGCGCTGCAAACGCAGCAAGCAACCGTGGAGCCGGTGGCGCCGGCGGC